AAATGATGTAGAAATTAAGTCAATGAATAGGAAGGTTCAAATATCAAAGCAAAGCACGTAAAGAGTGAGTAGGGGCGGTAGTAGTGAAGCGCGGTTGTGGTTGTAGAGCGTCGACGCGCGTTACAGCGCATTACAGCTCGTCAACGCTCTGCGATGCGCGATTGTCGCGAAGTCTGAACGCTGCCTCAGCAAATTTTGCTCAACAGTATTCCTCATAGATTCACTGTCATTTGAAAATCCTACATTTCTTCGTGTAACCTTCGCTGATGTAGATGTTTGTCAATTCAGGCTTATCAGCGTTCAAATGGAGGGTCAAGAAATCCATCAGAATCTGCGGAAGCACTTCTGATGGAAATGGCTGATGGCCTTCTCCCCGCATCATCCGCCCCAGTGAGGATATCAACCTTGGGTAGACTGTCGAAACTGCGAAAAGCGTTCACATTGAAGAAGGACTAATCTGGCGCAGTTCGGCGACGAGGGAGGGAAGCATTTTGCACTTCTGCTGCTTCACTAGTTCCCGGTTTACAAGTCTTCTGGTGAGACCTGTAAGCTGGGGCAGCCTCGTCAAGCCACCATGACAAGCCTGTCAGCTCACGAAAAGGATCACCAAATGGGTCGACTTGTCGATGGAAAGTAGCAAAAGTGAAAAATGCTTCCCCCCTCCCGTCGCCGAACTGCCCCGGCTAATCCTACCGGTGGTTGCTCATCAATTGCTTTGCTCAATTGGAATTGATCATCAGTTGTGCCATGTCATATCTAGTCTCGGCCTTTCTTGAAGCCACACTTGAATAACGAGTAACTTTTGTGATACCTCAGGAGAATTGCCATGAATTCGAATATTGGCTGTTTAATGTTTGTGCAATATCAGTGAACATTCCTTGATTGTCTCACTTGTAGACTTGACTGATTTTCCTTCTTCCAGCCGGTCCCTAACAAGCGGTTGTGGACATGATAACAACAGTTATCATCTTATCAATCTCTTCTAAGTCACTTCCTAATTTTTACGAAAAAGCTTGGGAACCCCAAATTTCATCGTCGCCTCTAATCATTTCAGATTCGAAGGTTGTCACTTCAAGCTTGCACTTTGAATTTTCACATGAATGGTTCTCTTCTGAAGTAGTATTTTATTTGAATGAAGGTTTCCTCCCCTTGTGATAAATTGCTAGCCATCATATCACTCTTTTCAAGAAATTTGACTTAGGAAGGATTTCTCTAAGTGTAAAAACAGGGCACATCATCGTTGGGAATTCCCCAACAGAGGGTCGTTTTTGGTCGCTCGACAGAGGAAGGGGATCTTATTTGGTCTGGGACAGTTTTTTTTGATAGTTGACTTCCTTGTTTCACGGACGCTATGAGGGGAGAGAGAGGGGCGCTTCGTATTTGCTCGTTGTTGGGAGAGGAGAGTGGTTGTATTCGCGTTTTGAGAGGAATTTGCGGCGTTGAGAAAAAACTTCCCCTGTTGTTGACTTTTCGTTTTTATTTTCGTCACATTTTTCAAAAATTTTCCTAGCGGCAAGATATGCCCTGGAAAAAAAAATAACCCGAAACCGTAAAAAAGGGGGGGTCGTATCAAGTCACCTTTCAGGTGGGGGTAGTACGGACTAGACCGAACTTACCAACTAATGATGTGCCCT